GTTGTGGTCAGCCAGCTGTGCCCGGCCTGCCACCTGTTTCCTAGGGACCACGTCCACGCAGACGCGGTTTCAGGGCATTTAACCCTCCGACTGATCTGCCCCTCCGCACAAACCTCAGGGCCCTCTCACAAGTCAGCTGTGAACCGGGCTCCTTCCTACAGAGCAAATTAGGAAACTGGCTTTTTAAAAAGTAGGTCACAGAACACACGGAAGGCAGGCCTCACCTACTGGGGGCAAACCCCACGTTTTGCATCAAGTGCACATCATGCCTTTCTGGGCGGGATAAGTGAGCAGCAGTCGGCCCTGGGGAACAGGATGTAGCTGATCTAGGGTGAAGGGCCACGGTTCACGACACCACAGCAAACGCTTCACTTGGAGGCAGCTCAGTCGTCGGCTGGTGGCCCAGGGCTGAATGGGCACAGAGGTCCTCCCACGAGGCCCGGGAGTTTAACTCGGGAGATTTGGGAAATGCCAGAAATAAGCAAGTTTTCAAAAATGCCACAAGATATTAGCAACCATTTTTAAGGAAGGATTCCTACAGGTCCGGATCCGACCTCCCCAACAGCTAAGCCGTGAAGGGTCAGGAGAGTGAGAAGGACTGGACCCTGCTCCTGTTCACGGGTGAATCCCGTTCACAGAACCCGGTGACACGGAGACAGGAAACGGAAGACGGAGAACTCGGCCCATTTCTGGGTGAAAACAGCCCCCGTGTTGCTCCCTAGAGACCACCCTTCTCGGTCCTGGGAACCCTTTCCAAGCGGCCGGGAGGGAGAGGGAGGACGTCCCGCACCGTGTGGCACTCTTGCGGGGCCATGGCGGGGAGGACCCGCTCGACTGGAGCCCCCCAGGCTGAGGGTGGGGAGTGCAGACCAGGTTGGAGGGGGACAAACACAGGAAGCCGCATCTGGGGGACATCCAGGCGCTCCTTAGAGAACGGGGGTCTGTGCTCTCCACTGTGGCTGCAGAGCCTGGTGGACACACTGGCTCTGTGTTGCCAGCGCCCCCGAAAGGCCACCCACCACCCAGAATTCCAAGACCGCAGAGCCGCCCCTCCCACAAGCCAGAACGCATCTGCTCCCAGAAGAGCTCACGGAGGGGATTCGGGGCTGCATCTCAAGAGCCCCGACAGCTGCCGCAGTCCGACAGCGACCAGGGCAGAGGCGAGTCTGTGAGGAAAGGCTGAAGGCCGAGTCCACAGAGACAGTTGAGGCCAGGGCAGCACATCAGAGCCGCGACACCACCAGAGCGGAGGCTGGCGAACGCGCGCACTTTCCACCCCTCAAGGCTGGGAAGAGGCTCCCTCCCGGCTGCCCGGCTTGTTCAGGACAAATACAGGCGGAAGCCTTTCAGAGGCAGCACTTCCAGCCCCACTGCCCGCAGGACGGGCACAGGCCGGACGTGAACAGCTCAGAGAAGTCAGCACACTCTTGGATGG